TATTAAGACAGTTTTTGCCAGGTACATGGTGTGTGCTATTCTATAATTCCAGGTACCTGGAAGGCGGAGGCAGGAGGATCTCAAGTTCCAGACCAGTCTGGGCAACTTAGAAAGACCCCGACTCAAGATAAAATTGATAAAAATTTTATCAATTCTCAGTTATCCACCCCCACTACAACAAAGACAGTAGTTAGTTCTGCCTGCTAAGGTAGAGGACTTGCATTTTACCTCCTGTTCTGCTTTGTAAAGATCTTAGTCAAGTCACATCAACTCATTTGGAAGATACGGATGATTCTCTACCTAAAGGCAGAGAACTGGATTGGCCTTTGAGAAACTGTCCAGATTTTTGATGATTATAAGAAGGGGCTTTGAGAGGAACACGGACATGTGGCTTGTTCATTGAGTTATATAATAATATAACACATATAATATATGTATTTATTCAATAATTGAGAAGTACTAGAACCAAACACTGATTGAACCCAGGGATGCTTGAACACTGAGCCATATCCCCAGGRCTTTTTACTTTAAATTTTGAGATAGGCTCTCACTAAGTTTCTTAGGGCCTTGCTAAATTGCTGAGGTGGGCTTTGAACTTGTGATCCTCTTGCCTCAGCCTCTCAAGTGGCTGAGATTACAGTCGTGTACCACCATGCCTGGTGAAGCTAGACTTTTTAACCTTAAGAGATGTTAACCCAGAATCAGTTACTAACCTAAATAAAGCAGTCACTCTTTTTTCTTTTTTGGTGATACTAGGGATTTAACCCAGGGCCGTATACATACTAGTCAAATGTTCTACCAATTAGCTATACCCCCAGCAATTTTTTTAACAAAGACTTACTTTGAGACAGGGTCTCACTAAGTTGAAGGTTTTGAACCTCCTTTTTCAGCCTCTGGAGTAGCTGGGATTACAAGTGTGCACCACCATCCCCAGCTTGAGGTCAATCATGAAGCCTCAGGGAAAAAGAAGGGACATTAAGCCTAACACCCACCCTGATGAGGGCAGCAGCTCTTATTTGGCAGCCAGAGCTAAACTAGATGTGTTCAATTCCTGCAACAAACATGGTCAATGTCAACTACTTTTAGAGGAAATATTTAATGGGAATAATAGGATAACATATCACAAATAGAGTCTGATCTGAGGTGTTGATATGGATAACTGAGAACAAGTCAATTCAAAAGTTATTTACTATTTTTGCCTTTGCAATTAACACATCTGGCCAGGACACCCCCTGCAGCATCCAGGTGACTTCCTTCTGGCTTTCTGATATATAGAGGAGACATATAGGATGGGAGCAGTGCCTGATGAACTGGAGAAATCGGAAGAACCAGGTTTTACTGCCAACTAAGTCATGACCCAAGGAGACAGAAGTCATTTTTAGTGTGGACACAGATTACTGTGTTCTACTCTGTGAGCCTGACTCTAAGAGCAAGGATGTATTCCCAGTGCCTACCATTGTGTCAATATTCTGTAGAAAAGGAGGCCAATAAATAAATTCAGAAAAAGCTGAATTTAAGTAAGCTTTTTCTATTTATTTTCCACTAATCTGGATATAGAAGCAATGAAAATTCAGAAATTTGGGTGCCAGGGCTTCTTGGTAAAAAAAAGTTCACAGGAAGAGCTGTGGGAATCTGACATTAGCATTTATTCCAATTTCAGGTGGCATATCAGTCAAGTCTATCCTGCTTTACTTGGTGGTAAAATATTAGTAGAGACAAACTTTGTGAAAGGGAAGAGAGTAGGGGATAGAGTTCATTCAGTTCACAAACAGCTTTAGTTGGCTGTGTGTCCCACACTATTTCATGTAAAAAAAGAACAGGCTCTGAGCTTGAGGAATTTAGGGATAATTAAGAAATGGCAGGGACTTTAGCAATACTGAAACTCACAGCAAAAACCTAGAATGTGGGTGTTAATATATATATGATCAAAATAGGAATCTCTTTTCAAGAGAACTATGAAAGTTATGAAAAAAACTCAATATTTCATCTTAAATTTGGCATAAAGATAATGTAGTATTCTGCTGAGAGCCATTGCCAAGTAGGTATGACGCATCGAAATTTCCTTGCCAGCGTACCCCATGTTGCTTAGAGGAAGGACTC